TTCAAACCTTTATTCCACATATTTTCCCATTGTTCCAACATAATATTGTATCCGAAGTTTTCAGCCCATTTAATCATGGATACCTTGACTTGTTCATCTTCTAAATTAATCTGTAATATCTTACACATTTTAGCAGTAATATGTTCATCATTTCTACAAAGTTGAATCTGAAAATAATTTGTTTCATTAGCAAATCTATAATTCTTTCTGTCCAGCTTGAAATGTTCAAACAATTGCATATGAGTAAACCAATGAAATATAAAACCTTCTAACTCTAACTGTTCTCTTGTTTTCAAACTTGGTTCCCTCCTCAAAATTTAACAAGTCTTTATATTTTAACCACCTCATTTCTCCCACATTTTCTCTTCTAGGAAATGCCTCCTGAGGTTAAAACCAAAAAGGTACATTAGGAGACAATCTTACCTTATATTTATTCCAGATCCACAGTAAGGCATTCCTCATATAGTGGTTTTTAAAATCCTTATTAGCTTTAACTTTATCATACCACAAGTAAGCATGCCACACACCTTAGTGGTGGCTTGATTGGACTACCCTAGTGTGCTTTACTTGAGGATATCTTACCTGGTCCAGACTGCTGAGCAAAGCTAATTATAGGCAAATGTAACTATTCTTCCAAGAATTAACTGGCTCCTGATAACATCTTCTGCACAACATTCAGAAGAAATTTCTCTAAAGCCCTAAATAAGTTGGGACCCTCTCCTTTATGTGTGTGTTTAGGCTGTTATATCTTCAAGTGGGGCTCTTTTCTCGATATACATGGCAGGGCTACACGAGCTTTCTCGGTGTTTTTGGTGGATGGCAATTTGCATAAAATTATTGCTGGTTGATTCCTTGGTGTGATTTTATCTGTCCTGTGAGGCCTTTGGTTTCTTGACTTAGTTAAACTTTAACTACATCTTAATTTGTCCTCATTTAAAAAAAAAAATTTTTTTTTTAATTGTTCATAGCTTTGCTTCCATACAGTATAAAGATCAATCATTTAAATTTTGGATCTGAGCTTTTTAAGTGTGGCTTTGTTAGCCACTGTAAGAGCTTTCTTCAATTTATACTTTGAATATTATAATCACATTTCACTTTTTTGTCATTTTGCAGGGTATTATACACCCCAGGGCATACAGATGACCACATGGCTTTACATCTGTTAGAAGAAAATGCCATATTTTCTGGTGATTGTATCTTAGGAGAAGGAACAGCTGTGTTTGAAGACCTTTATGACTACATGAAATCTTTGGAAAAGCTCCTGGGAATTAAAGCTGATTTAATATACCCAGGTAAGTTATATGTTTGACATTAATTATAGTAGCTCTTCTCCATGAGTATAATTCTCTTGAGTTGCTCATAGCCTGCAGTGCTTGGCTAGAGATTTTTGATCTCATTGTCCTATAATCACAGGTACTGTGGAAATAGGAATGGGTGCCTCTGTCTCATTGACTCCTGTTTGCAAGCTGTTTTGTGATTTTTCTTGGTTCATAAAAGAACATTCTATGCTAAAATGTTCCAGGTTTCAGACTCTCACTTTTGTAAATCTACATCTAGAGCTTCACAGAGAGAAGCCACTCTGGAAGGAGCATTCAGGTGTTTTTCATTTAAAATAAAACACATTTTAATTTCCTTGTGCTTTTGGGTGTAATGTCATTTGCTCTTTCCTTCCTAGTAAATAGAGTGTATGCTAAATGAAGAAAAGACTTTGTGAAAAGTCCTTTGGCTGCTAAAGTGTCTGTTCTTTACACTCCTTCTCTCCCTCCTTCCCCTCTCCCCAACTCCCCTTAAGGAAAACACTACTCAAAATTCAGCACCTCAAAAATAATGTATGAAAGAAAATTTTAAAAAATCAGATGGAATATCCCAATAATACTATAGGGAAGGTCTTGTATGATCCAAACCTGCTTTAAAATGTTGATGTTTTGGGGGTGTAACATTTTGAGTTCAGGGCTGTTAATGTTAGAATTCACCCATTTATTGCATGGATTTATCCTGTTTTTTTCTCTGAGAATGCAAAGTGGTCCAGGTGGGGTAGAAGTTCTCCAGTCTATCCTCACACCTATTATTTTGAAATGTAATTGGGACCAAAACCAATGAATTGGCCCAAGATAACAAAATTGGCTCCATAGTTCAGCAAAGACTTGAACTTGTACTTTTTTCACCCCTTCCAGCATTTTTATCACAATTCAACAGTTTGTTTGTTTATACTACATATAGGCCACCTGACCCCCAGAAACTTTGGGGAGCTTACAATTAAAAACTTTTTAAAAAGACAAAAGACGAAAAAGAAATCTTGAGCAGCCCAAAGACTACATGTAACCAGAAAAAAATCCATTAGCAGGAGCTCAGCCTTCATCCTGCCTGAAAGAAAAGCCAGGTATTTAATAGCTTCTTGAATGTCGGGGGGCAGGCAGGGGCATCCGGATTTCTAGGGGTGTCATTCCAGAGGGAAGGTGCCACAACAGATATGGAGACATAACAAAATTAGAAGATATTGGGCTCTCATGTTAGCTTTGCCAATATGAACACTTTAAATCATCTCTTCTTAAAAATTATCCTGTATGCACTATTAATTAGTAAGTTCTCCTGGAAATGTGTAGAGAAACATCTCTGGAAAAAAAATGTTGTTGTCTTTATAGGACATGGTCCAGTAGTAAAAGAAGCAAGAGCTAAAATTCGGGAATACATTTTACATAGAAATGCACGTGAGCAGCAAATCCTACAGGCCCTGGATGAGAGTGCTGGGAAATCTCTCACAACAGCGGAACTTGTGAAAATTGTTTACAAGGTATAAGTGGCATCTGGTTTTGGATAAGAACTAGATTTCAGTTATGCAGAAAGCAATGCGGTAGAAAAGAAATTAATGGCTCATAGCAAGAATAGTTTTTATCTAAAGAACACCATGTATATGTACTTGCTTTCAGAAATCATATTGCACCAGATCATATTTGTTGTATGCTGTGAAGTATACAGTATTAATAGTTATACAAAAATGTTCAGACTATCATGTTTTGTTCAGACTTTAAACACCCCTTCCAAAATCAGATTTTTTTTTTTGCAAAATTCTCTAATGAAAAATAGTTTTTTTCAAAAACACTATGTCCTGAATGCCTCAAATTGCTTCCAGCTTGAAGAAATTACTTCCAGAAACTATCAAACTAACCCCAGGTTCACTGTGGTCCAGGAGGAGGTTCACCATGGCCACGGGGAGGGGCAGGGGGGTGCACGGTGGGCATGGCATGTTCCTAAGCTCTAAGAAATT